TATTACAGCAGCCATTGATATTTTCCTACTAATCTATCCATAACTGTGTAAAGTTTGTAATGTTCCTATCCTATTTCATAAATGGATGTATGTTTATTATTATGTGTTTCCTACAACAACCATTGAGAAGAGTTAATGATTTTTCAGTAGGTCACTCATGTATAGCTCTATTTATTTTCTTTAGAAGCCACTTTGAAGATACCAAAGTATAGTACAACAACTCTTGATAATCTCCTACCTCTTTTGTCTGTAACTCAGTATTATTTGTCTATTTGTTTGCCTGAGAAACTATTTTGTAGACAATAATATGTAAAATGATAACCATTGATAATTTCCTACCATTTTGTCTGTAATTTGCTAAGTCCCCCCTATTATTATGTTATCCTTCTTTTATTCTTTAAAATTAAAAAAAAAAAAAAAAAAAAAAGAAATGGCCATCCCAAGGGGATCACCGTGTCCAGGGGACATGGGACAGTGGCCAGGCCAGGGTGTGACGTCCGGGGAGGGACAGCGTCTTGTGAGGCCTGGAGCTGCAGGCTTGGGCGCGCAAAGTAGAATCCGGAAAGATGCCTGCCTCTTTTTTAAAAACATGTTTTTCTTAGCACGTTTGCAGCACGTAGTGCATGCATTCCTTGTGAAGAATTGGGGCCTAAACACATCAGTCTTAGCTGATAGGTGTGGTGGCACATGCCCCGCAGGATCGCCGTGAGTTCGAGGCCAGCCTGGGCTGCATAGCGAGACCCTGTTTCAAAAACAAAACACAGGAAACAAAAACAAATCCCCATTTCACTCTTGGTCCTTTCTACTTTCCCTCCCTCACACCCCTCATCCGCAGCCCCCATCCCCAGCCCCCTTGTCTCCACAAAGTCTGTTTCCCTTTCCTGTCACCTTTTTATTTTGCTCTTTTATGTGCATACTGGGTTCAGAGAAACCGTGTGATATTTAACCTCCCGCATCTGATTTATTCCTCTTGCCTAGGGACTCCAGCCAAGGTGCCTGCCACTCTGACTGAGCCGGGGGAGCTGATGCCGTTGCTACTTAAATCCTATCTGCAAAAACCTCTTTTCCAAATAAGAGCACATTTACAGGCTCTGAGCTGATGGGTGTTTGGGGGCTACCAGCAGATAGTGTGATTCTGGGCACACACAGCTGGGACTCCTGGCAGGGGGCTGGCTGTGCAGGTCTGGAGCAAGCGGTGGCCTTGGAAACAGGACTTTGGCTCACAGAGAAGTCACCCAGGACTCAGGTAAAAGCCAGCAAAGTAGGAAGAGGAAGATGGGTTGGTGAGGGAGGGGGGGTGCCCAAGCAGGAGGATGCAACCACCTTGAGGTCATGGGGATCTTCCTGCCTCAGCCTCTCCAGGGCTGGGATTATAGGTGTGCACGATGGAGCCCAGCTCCCAGCTACATTTAAGAGTACAGCTCACTGCCCTTAGGTGCATTCACGTTGTCCTCCAGCCATCAGCACCATCCGTCCACAGACTGCTGCATCTCTAAGAATTGAGCACAAGCCAGGTGCGGTGGTGCATGCCCGTAATCCTAGCACTCTGGGAGGCTGAGGCAGGAGTGTAGCAAGTCCAAGGCCAGCATGAGTCATTTAACAGTAATTAATGAAGCAAAACCCTGTCTTTGGGCTGGGGATATAGCTCAGCGGCACAGTGCCTGCCTGGCAAGCCCAAGGTCCTGAGCTCAATTCCTGGTACCAAAAAACCCCCCAAAACCCACAAAAAAAGCCACAAAACTCTGTCCAAAATTAAAAATCCAAACAAAACAAAACAACTAGCTCAGTGCAGAGACCTTGAGTTCAATCCCCTGTACAGATATAGGGTAGCAGAAGTGAAGACTAGGTAGAAAAGAGACAAGGAAATCAAGATTTAAAAAAATCACACTTTTAAGAAAAACTGCAGCTTCAAGACACAAGTCCAATTTCTTTTCTTTTTTCCTTTCCTTTCCTTTCCTTTCCTTTCCTTTCCTTTCCTTTCCTTTCCTTTCCGTTCCGTTCCGTTCCGTTCCGTTCCTTTCCTTTCCTTTCCTTTCCTTTCCTTTCCTTTCCTTTCCTTTCCTTTCCTTTCCTTTCCTTTCCTTTCCGTTCCTTTCCGTTCCTTTCCTTTCCTTTCCTTCCTCTTCTCCCAAAGCATAGTAAGCCTGGGCAACTCCCTTTCAGTACACATAGGTTTGCCCAGCCCCTGCGTACACCTCCACATCCACTTTCACCTAGGTCATCTCTTTTTTTTCTGAGGTCATCTCTTCAGCGTTTCCCATGTGATCAGACCCTCACGCGAGGGGCGGGCCATGCTCTCTCACCCACTAGAGAAGACTAAAACTGCAGGTTATTGAGCTCCACAGACCCCCACCTCCGCACACACTGGAAAGATCCCCAGTTCCCAGCTGCACGGGCCCCACTTCTCAGAGCCCCGCCCCCAGCTCTCCTGGGCGGCCCACCTCCTCCCCGATTAAGCCCTTCCCCCTTCTCCCTCACTGGCGCAGCCTGAAAATTCGTTTTCCGAGATGGAAGCCAGCAAATGTACAAACTTATTTTATTTTTATTTATTTATTTTTTTACAGAAAACAGGCCAGGTGGAGCCCTCTCTCCTGATGGGAAGGAGGAGGAGGAGGAGAAGGGAGGAGGGTGCCAGCCGCTGCAGCGGGTTTATTTCTACCCTGGGAAGGTTGAATGTCATGCAAAACCCCTCTGCCTAACAGTTCACCCAGGTGGCTTGCTTCAGGCTGCACTGTTTTGTTTTGTTTTGTTTTGTTTTTTTTGTCTTTTTGAGGCAGGGTCTCGCTATGCAGTTCAGGCTGGTCTTGAGCTCACTTTGTAGCCCAGGCTGGCCTCGAACTCACAATGATTCTCCTGCCTCAGCCTCCCCAGGGCTGGGATTACAGATGCGTGCAGCCACACCTGGCCAGGCTGTACTGTTCTCGAGACTAGAGCAGCTTACTCATGTTACAAACTTTTCTTTTTGGTACCAGGAATCGAACTCGCCACCTCACACTTGACAGGAGGAGCTGTGCCTCTGAGCTATATCCCCGGCCCCTACAAATTTCTTTTAAAAGAGGTGGTGAAGTTCCTTATTTTGGCCTCAGGGACTGCAGACCCTGCCCAATGACGGCACCGCATACAAAACAGGCAAAAAACAAGCGAACAGAAGGAGTTGAACACGAACTTCCCGGGTAGCCTTTCCTGCCCCTCCTGGAACCCCTTTCTCTCCCATTCTCCATTCATTCAATGATTCTCGGGACCTTCCAGGAGTGGATTCATCCAGGGTTTGTCCTCCCGTCCACCTTACTAAAAACCCCAGCTCCGCTGAGATATAATTCCCTTGTCACACAGTTCACCCCTTCAAAGTGTCCAATTCAGAAGCTCCGCGTGGGTGGTACAACGACCCCCGCCCTCCAGTTCCCAAGCACTCGCCTCGCTCGCCGAAGAGAGCCCAGCTCAGTAACCAGTCACTTCCCACCCCCGGGTCCCTGGCAACCGCTCCCCCCACCCTTCCCCCCCGACAACCACTGATTAGGTTTCTGTTGCTATGGAAACACCTATTATGGATATTGTACATAAATGGAATTGATATGGGCTGTGTTTGGCTCCTTTCATTCAGCCGAGTGTTTTCAAGGTTATGTGAACTCGAGGGCACATCACTACTTCCTCGCTTTGTGTGGCTGAATCTACCACATTCTGTTTATCTGCTCACCCTGGGCAGTGGCCCCCTCCCGACCCTACTTTTGGACAACGTTGTCATAAATGCATGTGGATTGGTTTTTACGTAGAATTTAAATTCCAAAAGGCTATATGCTAAGAGTGGAGCGGAAGTGCTGGGTCAGGCAGTAACTCCCAAGCAGCGGCACCATCCTCTGCTCCCCCTGCAGTCCCCGGGGAATCTGACATTTCCTTGGATTCCTTGACACTTGTCAATCACATTTTTTAGTAGTTCAGGCTGGCCTTGAACTCACAGTGACCCTCCTGCCTCAGCCTCTCGAGTATGGGGATTACAGGGATAAGCCGCCATGCCTGCCTGCTGGTGCCTTTGATCTGAGCCCTCCCATGGTGTGAACTGTACCTCAGTGGGGTTTGCCTCTGTCTAGCTGTGATTACGTCGATACCCCTGACGGGCACCAGCCTGTGGGAAGAGGCACTAATTCTTCTGCCCCCAGCTCCTTGGTCGGCCGGCATTCTTCAGTGAGGAGCGGCTTGGCTTCACCCTCTGGAGCTCCTCGGTGTTCCTGAGAGCTCTTCCCCTCCGCGGGACAGGAAAACGCCTCGTTCTTGGTTGTTCTGGGGGCTGGGATATTTATGTATTTGAAATGTTTCAACAAGGTACACTTCTTGTTGTTGTTTTTTGGTCCCAGATTTGTCCAGCCGCGCGAGACCCGTTCTGAGGGTACCGGGCAATGACTGTTAGTAGACTCACACACTCACCACTGCGGTCCACTTTAAGGGCACGGTTCTCCTTCGAAAATGTCCATATTGTGCTTTTCCAGTTGAGACTTGCCCCAAGGCCGAGACTGGTCCAGTAGCCCATGTGGGCAACCTGGCCTCCGTCCAGCCCTCCCACCCGGGCACGGCCTCCCGGACGGGAGATGCCTGGGTCTCTGTGGCTCCGGCTGCTCCTGCAGACCCTCCTGTGCCCGTCCCTGCCCTGGGGCGGAGAGGCCTTTAAGAACGACTCCCCGGACCCCAAAGCCAAGGATCAACTGTGCTCTGGCAATGCCTTTAGAAGGGGAGAGTGAAGATCTCTGCTCTCCTCAGAGCAGTGGCACAGGAGCCGGGCACAGAAAAGCCAGAGACAGAGGGCATGGTGGCGCACGCCTGTAATCCCAGCACTCGGGAGGCTGAGGCAGGAGGATTGCTGAGGGTCTGAGACCAGCCTAGGCTTCAAAGTGAGCTCAAGGCCAGCCTGAACTGCCTAGCGAGATCTTGTCCCAAAAGACACACACACACACACACACATACACACACACAAAGAAAAAGAAAATAAAAGCTGGAGATGGAAGCAGAGCTCTGACGTGGATGTATTTGGGCAGCTGCTAAGCGGCCCAGTCAGGGGCCAGGGGTCGCAGCCCCTGGGCCTCAGAGAGCCCGATGGCCCCAGGGTATACGTGTCTGTGTGGGGAGGGGCCCAGGGGTCTTTGGCAAGCTCGAGGCCCCCGGTGTCTGAGTTCTCTTTCTGGGAAAGGCGTGGCTGGGAGGAGGACACCTTCTCTGGCCCCTTCCTCTGGCCCCGGTGCCCACTCAACCCCGCGAGGGGGCCCGACGCAGCGGCCGCTGGGCACAGGGTCGGGCCTCCGTCTAGCGCGGAGTTTTCTTTCCTTCTAAAGGCATTTCCAGGTCTGCTGGAAGAGAGAGGGGTAGGAGGTGGAAAGCACAGACACGGAATTATTTAATGCTCTCGTATCTCTGGCTGCAGTGAATGGTGGCTATTTCTTGTGAGAAAGGCCGTAGCCGGAGCAGGTCCCTGCTGGCTGTGTCCAGGGAGCTGAGTTTGGGACTGGAGGACGGGACTCCATGAACTTCTCCAGAGCAAGTTCACCAGAGAAGACCAAAGCCTCTCAGATTCCCTTTCAGACCTGTGACTTCCTTTTAGGAAGGAAAAGAAATCCTTGTCTGGCATCTTTTGGAAAAAAAACTATATATATATATATATATATATTCTGCCAAAAAATATATCTGCACTCTGCAGTTTGCTGTACTGAGAATTGTCGGGCACTAACGGCCACCACTGTGAGCACCCCGTGTAACTGTAGAGGCCGAAGGGAACCGGGATCAATCTCAGGATATCTTCATAAATTTAGTATCAAAATATTTATACAGGTTTTTCTTTTCCTGATGTGTACATTTTTTGGTTCTCTCTCTAGAGGAAATAGCGGAGCGGCAGCCGCCTGGAGGAGCTGCACGCCTTATGTCATGGGCTGGTGCCGAGCCCCACACACCCCCAGCCTGGTGCAGCTCCCCCTGCTTGGCGGCCTCCCTCTCACTCCGCCCCTGCCCGCGGTGAGTCCCTGTCCCCACCCGCCTCTCCCTCCACTCAGTACTCGGCCACCACAACCATCCTTCCCCAAATGCGGATCCGATTGCAGGGCTCCTCCTCTGACACCTCCCCGGAGCCCCCCTGCTTCTGCTTATCTGGCTGGTCCTGACTCACTCTCCCCTCTGCAGCCTCTTTGTTGCCTTCCCAGCTGGCTCTCTATCATGATCTGAACTCAGATGTGATAGCCAGAGACAAGGCAGCCATTTTGTGAGCAATAGGACGAAGACAATTGCAGATTCCAGCACTTGTTCCATGGAGCTGTCAAACCAGGCTGTCAGGGGCCGCCTTTCTATTTCTGATGAGAGAAAGCAAATTCTTTTTTCTTTAAAAGCCATGTTAGTGGGTTCCTCTGCCATTTTCAGCCAACAGTGTCCCAGCTGCTGCTGTCTCTGACTTTCTGGGCCTTCCCCCGACCTGCATATCTATGTATCTACTGTGCATTCTGTGCTGGGAGTTGGACGGGGACATCCTTCTGCATCAGCACTTCACTGGATGCCCTGGAGAGCGGCCTGGGCCAGGGACAGAGTTTGAGATCCATCCATGGTGGCCCCACCCCTCCCCACCCTGCACCCTGTGCGCCTGGCTTCTCAGGCTCCTCCCCTGAACCCCTGTCTTTTCCAGCCCCTGGACTTCGGGTTTGGCCCCATGGTCTGCTTTGGCCCTGGAACAAGGCAGAGGAGACAGTGCCTGTTACAAGCCGAGGCTTTCAGGGGCTCTGACACTTCCAGACCTCTTCCTGTGCTTTTATCAGTGCTGTGAGAACAACATGCTCTGGCCACTCTGCGGGTCCAAGGAGAGCTGAGAGATGCACGCAGGCTGCCGTGGCCAGACCTGGCTGCGCCCCATGACTGCATGAACTGCACACGTGCCTGCAGGTGCATGGCAGAGATCTTGCTATTTGTTACGCAGCATGAGGCAGCACTAGCTGACCGCTACAGTGACTGAGAGAGGTGCAGCAAGGAAAGAAGAGGGCCTGGGGTGGAGTCCCGAGGAACCTCACATTTTAGGGATTCTCAGAGGTGTAGAAAATGGCCAAAGCCATCAAGAGCTGGGTGTTTCTGAGCCCTCCCTGTGAAGCATCTGTCGGGGGGCAGGAGGAACCCACAAAAGAGAGATCTAGGGAGGAGCTGCAGTTTGGACCTGACTGACCCCGCACATCTGGTCAGGGGACTGTGATATAGTCCCTGCTGGGCCTTGGTGTTGTTGCTTGTGAGGTGGCATTCAGACCCTGGGTCTGCTGCTCCTCGCACCCAGAACCGCCTCTGCTGCATGCACATCTGTGTGTCCTTATGTGCCTGTGTGTGCCCGTGTGCTCGCAGGGCGTCTGGCGTGTGCACCTGGTGCACCTGGCTGGCTCTGAGTGCCTGTGTGCAGGCGGGCATGTGTCTCCTCCCCCTGGCTGTCCGTGTGTCTGTGTGTCTGTCTCCCGCACAGTCGGGAAGCGCTGCCTTGAGGAGTTAGCTCTGGAAAGGGGGACTGGGGAGTGACGGTGCGGACAACAGCCCGGAGACATGGGTGCTCAGGGTCCCCCGGGGGGACCGTTCTGGTCATGGCACAAGAGGACACACAGGGCAGGTGGCCTGGAGAGGGAGGAGAGGCTTGGGGGTGAGGAGCGTGGGCCGCATGGGGTCCCCCTGGCGATATGGGGGCTCTCTGTAGGGCTCAGGGTACCTTCTGGCCAGACAGGAAGCCCTGTGCCTGCACGCTGCTCCTCAGGCTTTCTCCAGGATGCTGTGGGTGTGGGAACCGGGCTGCTCTGAGGGGTGGCTTTCCCTCCTGCTTGCTCCTCCCGGCTGGTGCGGGGAGACCTGTGAGGCTGGCACCCTCGTGCCATCATGGGGCTCCCCGCTGCTACGGGCCGGTGAGCCTCTTGTCTTACACGGGGCCTCACGGTGCTGGGGCAGGGGCGGGTGAGCTGAGCCCTGCGGGCCTCAAGGGGCCTCTTCGGACTGGTTTTAGGCAGCGGTTGGCCCCCAGGCTGTGCCAACAGCTAGCGAGGAACACGTCAGTCTGAGTACTGGAGGGCTCAGCGTTTTCTCTCAAGAGCGAAGAATGACATATACCTTTATTTCCTCTAAGTAGCAGCAATCACGGCTTTGTTGCTTGTTGGAGACAGGGTCTCGCCTTGCAGCCCAGCCTGTCTCAGCCTCCTGTGTGCTGGGATTACAGGCTCAGTGGTGGCTGTTGAGCAAAGAAACAAAAGGAAATCCCGGGGAGCAAAACCAAGCGGTTCAGGAGCTCTTGTCCCCTCTCTCGGCACTGTCTGGGGAGGGTGCCCGGCTCCCCGGGGCCCCCCCGGGTGGCTCTCACCGCGCTTGTCTTGAGTGTTCTCTCTGCAACCACTTATCCGTGACCTCTGCTCAGCTCTGCTTCCTGTGCACCTGAGACGGTGTCTTTCCTGTCAGTGAATGAATGAATGAGTGAATGACAGGCAATTCTCTTTCACTCAGGACATTTTCGGATGTAACGAGCAGAAAATCAATTTAAACTGGCTTAAGTCCAAACAGGACATTGCTGGTTCCTGAAGCTAACAAGTTCAGTGGTGTCACTGCGTTCTGGGGCTCCAGGGAGTCAAATGATATTGTCAACTGGTTCTTTTTTCCCTCACATCCCCACTGACCTTTGCATTTTCTTATATGCTCATATCACCCTCTTTTCCTGCAGATATATCCATTCAGGTATAAGGGAGCTGTGGCAGCAGGAAGCTCTAGCTTATGCAGTCGTCACAGTTGAAGACCCCAGGAGACATTGTCTCTTCCCATCAAATCTCAGGAAAGTAGGGCTGGGGATTTAGCTCAGCGGCAAAAGCGCCTGCCTGGCAAGCGCAAGGTCGTGAGTTCGGTTCCTGGTACCAGAGAAAAACCAAAAACCAAA